CCGATAACAAATCTTTTTTTTTTCACTAAAAAATTTACAACTTTAGCTTGATTTGACGGCCCCTTCGATGCACAGAAACGGTATGGCACCTACCTTCCAATTGGTTTTTTTGACGTAAACTATAACTAGAAACACATGCCATCCGGTAACTTATTAGGAAAAAAGCAACAAATTTTTGACAACTTCGATCACACGCTATCGATTTTAAAACCGCGGGAGGTTTGCCATACTTGCGTTTCCTGCATGTTTACCTAATAAATGATGAATTATGACGATTTCAAGCGGTAACAAATCATGACCATTTTAGTGTCATCATCTCCCGGACTATAAGGAGCGTTTCGTAAATTACAAGTACAGTCGGTAAGTCATGCTCTTATGGTAAAAAGTTGGTACAACCATTATAGTTATCACCATGTGTATATATATATATATATATATATATGTGTTATAATATTATTCGTATTTAATATAATAATACAATAAAATTATAACAAGATAAACGCGATGTCTATAATAGAAATAATTCTATCACAGAAATAGCTGTCGTTGCTGTATCGATATTAGACAATTGCGCGGACTTGCACTAATAATATATTTTAAAAAAAACACCGTAAACGGGAGTAATTTACTGCGTAATACAAAGGTTTACCGCAAACGTAACAGAAAATCACATTGAAGTCTACTCTAAAATCGGAAAAACGCTGGATTAATTAGGCTAACTTGGATGAAATTTTTAAGTTCAAGCGATAGAATTATTATTAATCTTTTATTGTTTTTGATATGAAAGATGAATTAAAGATTCAGCAGACATGCTTTATGAAGTTTAGAATTTTACTACGAGTCTTGCCGCTTCGGTTTAAGTTAAATTAATCGAGGCTCGATCAAAATCATTCTTTAATTTATGTGGAACTTAATCGGCGTCGGTGAGATCTAGTGGAATTGCTGTAATGCCCAGAGCGAGCCATGATGCATGAACATCCGTCCGCGACTCGCAGCAGTCGCAGCGCGGCAGTGCGAAAGCGAAACGCCAGTTGTGCACGAGACAGTCGTCGACGAGCTTTCGGCTATGACGGTCACGTTGCTTCCCCAGCTGCTGGTAGTACAAACAGAACCATCACTTGGTCGGTGCATTGCTTCGGTCATAAAAGCCGCTTGCTTCAACGGCCGCGCTCGTACGTAAATTAACGTAAATGCGTCCATTTTCTGTTCCGGCCGCGCGAACAAATCGCGTTGTATCGATCGTTTGCCGGGTTGCACGTCACTCTCGTAACAGTTCTTGTGTGTGCTCCGAAAAAGATAGTGTGTCGATCGATGCTTTTTGAAACAGGGTCAGCTTTGTAAAAGAGCAAAGAAAATATACATATAATATATATATATACGTATATATATTATATATACGTATATATATCTGATATATATAGGTAAAATCTTTATATACATATTTATGTGCATATATATGGCTAAAGCGAGTATAGAATATGATGTTTTATGTACACACACAGACACACACACACACACACACACACACACACACACACACACACACACACACACACACACACACAAACACACACACACACACACACACACACACACACACACACACACACACACACACACACACCATCGAGACACTAATGCCTTGACACCCGAAATTACATACATATCAGGGGAGACATGAGAACGAAATTAAAAATTAAATTAAATTAAACGAATGAAAAAGCACGAAAATGCATGTTGAGGCATTGTTGTGTCCCCGTGTGTATTGCACGGATATTTATGAAAGTGTCATGTGTGTATGTATGCACTTGTATTCTAACCGGGAAAAAACTGAATTGGGATGATATTATATCCCAATATACTATACTAACCTATTGCATTCCTATGGATGTCCTACGTATACCTATAGGTAACTACACAAGCTCCTATAGAATCTTATAGTCATCTATAGGAACCCATGAAAAAATCCATGGGAATTTGCAGCAGGGTATACATATATGAATATTTATATGAATGTTTGTAATATGTATGTTTATACGTATTCATGCATGAAACATTTTTTACCGGGATTTATATGTGAGTCTGTGTTTACATAAATGTATTTTATGTTTTATATATAACACAAAATTATCCTATATTATATATATATGTAATATATATTTTTTTTTCATAAATTTACATATGCGTATGTACAAATGCATTTATATTTAAGAGATTTATTCTTGAAAATAATTTTTAATCTTTTTTTTGATGCGTTTTCATTGTGTCACGCACTTTACGCTGCGATCTTTTTAATAGACATTTAATTAGTATTCGATACGCTTGACGGAAATGATTTACGAAATTATAATTGCAATCGCCTGCGTTTTAATCGCAAAACAGACACGTCATTCACTCTCATATAAACGTGCGATTCTAATGTAAACGGATCGCCTTTTTCTAGTCGCAGAAGTTTTATTTCTTACACGTTTTCAGTTCGTCGTAAAAGGTTCGAATTTCTCGGTAGACTCGAGTGAAATAACTCAAAGTAGGAAGCGTCGGAACTCGTATCCAGTAATTTTTCAGATACCGTTAGAATGTCCGCAGCGCAATTTCTAGTGAAACCACGACGATGGTAAATCGTACGTCGTTTGCTATATTGCTATATATATATATATATTTCTCGCGACGCTGATATGAGCTGCAAGTAACTTGTGCGCGAGCGTCCATATATATTATCCCTCTCATTAAATCACCAAGGTTAGAACACGGTCGTGAAATCGGTGTTGAAGATAAAATAGCTTCGCGATATACGTTTCGCGTGAACTGGTTTCTACAGAGGGGAAGAGAGAGCGTGAGAGAGACAGTGTGTGTGTGTGTGTGCGTGCGCGCGCGCGCGCGCGCGCGCGCGAGAGAGAGAGAGAGAGAGAGAGAGAGAGAGAGAGAGATAGCGAAAAGGGAGGGATAGGAAGATGAAGAGAAAAAAGTAAGAGAACAGGACTTCCGAATTTCGATCCGCAGATCACGTGTGATTTGAAACGCGATCTGACATTTACTCCCTCGCTTTACAAGATTTCGTGAAATTCTTTTGAAGCAATATAAAAATATACATAGATCTATATATTATAAATAACAAAGGTATATATTTATATATATAGAAATACATGTATGTACGTTTTATATATGTGTACATACATATACATTATACATGCATTATATATGTAATAATAACGTAAAAACATTGAAAATAATTAAAGGAATAATTTTCGTATTGTTCGTTTAAAAAAAAAACATGTTTGGAAGATGTAAAAAAAATTGCTCATACACAATTACGCATAATTTTATATATAATTATACATAAGCAATTTTTTAACATTTCTTCAAACTTGATTTTTTCTAAAACAAATAGTGTGAAAATTATCTTTTTAATAATTTTTAATGTTTTCACATTACTATTATTATTTCTATTACACTAGAAAGTAATTTTACAAAAAAAAGAGGGATGCACGAACATGTATGGACATATTTTATATGTGTATGATTGTACGTGTTCATGAATATTTATGTATGTTTATACATATTTATACATATATTCATGCACGAAAAATTTTTTATTGGGATGTGTATAGTGTTTCGTGTATGAAAAATTTTTTCCCGGGATGTGTATAGTGTTCAAAAACGAACTAGAATAAGAGAAAATATATGGATCAGTAATCCACAATACGATAGTCGTAAAAGTTAACGACTCGTTGTGGCGGCTTTTGATAAAAAGTTTGGAATACGCAATCGAAATTTATGTTGAAAAGAGCGCACATACCTATGTATTATTTTGTGAAAGTAGGACGGTTTCTCGCTTATACGTACCTACTTCCACGTCTCTACGTGACTCACTTCCTCTTTCACTTATTTCATCCGGATCGGCACGATGCTCTGTGCCGTCTTTGAAACGGCGCAAAAAGTTTCCTCAAAGCGCAGAAGCCTTTTGCTTTGAATTGTTACATATTTCCTGTACAACGATATTGTTTTATACGAAATAAAAGGCTAATGGCTGTTCTACAATGTGCTTTTTGTTTTCTGTTTCTTGCTGTTTGTCTCTTGCCTTCTTGATCAAAAAGACAAGAGACAAACAGAGACAAACAGCAAGAAACAGGAAACAAGAAGCACATTGTAGAACAGCCGTAAGAAGCTGTAGGCTTGCCAATGGTTTTGATCTGGATTATCTGGTTTTCAGGAGTCTTGTCCAGTGTCCGCAATTGACAAGTTAAGTTGCATGTCCAGTTTTAAAATATACCCAATTAGTAAAACGAAATTATTATATCATGAAATTTATAATGAACAGAATTCGCGATTTTCAATAACGTTTCTTCATCTTAAGCGCTCACTATCATGCTACAGTTATATTAAAAATTTTATTTTTTGATAAAATACTTTTTATTACTTATAATGTAATATTTTCTTATATTTGTTCAAAAATATATTTTTGTTTTAACAAATGTTAAACGGTTTTTTATTTTAACATGTTTTACGTATAAAAAAATGTTTATAATGTTAAATGTCATATGTGTAAAACATAGTTCAATTTTGTGTTTAATAATAACATGTATTTTAGATTAAATAATAATAATTTTTTTATTTGAAATTAAATTCTGATTTTTAAATTGTTTGCAAAATAATATCGTGTAAAATAATTTTTTATTAAATTTTATATTTAATCTAATTTTATATTTCATAAAATTAGATTAAATATAAAATTTAATAAAAAATTATTTTACAATATTATTTACATATTTCTGTCCAGTTTTGTCCGATTAAATTTCGATTTAAAAGAGAAAATATCTGAGATTTTAAACTTTTATCCAGTGAGAAAGTTAATATCGATACGATGTCGAAACGACGTCTTGGCCGTCAAAATTAGTTCAATGGCTCTAATAAGGGTAAAAAGTTCGATATGTATTTGAATTTCGATTTATTTTCGAGTTGTTTTAAATTATAAATATCTACTGTTACTGTTTTGTTCAATTTTAATATTATATTTATTGCACATCCTTTTATACATAAAATCTCGAAACGAGATTGAAATGATATCGACATAATATTTTTAATTCATCGAAAAAATCAATTCGACATCAATTTGACGACAATTTAATGAGTCATTTTTTTATTGATACAGAGAAAGAAAGAATTAATCAATCACATTAGTGAACAGACTGAATTATTGTTCAAATGCAATTGGTCACTTCTCTCTCCGAGATTTCGAATCGATTTCCAGCATCGTGGATACAATTAAAACTTTAAAAATTATGAGCAATATTAATATATACCATATATATATATACACACCCTGTACATATTTTGTGCGCGCGCGTGTGTGTGTATATAGGGTGTGCGGTAAGTTTTGACAAAATGCTAGTGTGTTTTTAAGACTGTCTTAAGTACAATTTTAAGATATCATAAACTGATCAAGAACCGCATCTTAAGACATTACTGAAGACGGTCTTAAAATGAGAAGATTAAGAAATAACCGTCAATTCGATGTCGAACCGATAGTGATTATTAATACTAACCAAAGAATGCTTCAAAGCATTTGTAGCATCATATGATTGTAGCCTATCCTGCAGTGTGGTTTATCAAATTCGACATTGATCACGTTCAGCAGACTTATCTGTTGCGGAGCGGATCCATAAGCGCTCACTGTTATTGGTGTATCCTTTTATGGCCGTGTCACACTACGCATTGGAAATTGAGGATTGCGAATTACGAATTAGAATTCGACCAATCAGGCAGTTTTAATTTTAATCCGTTTCATTGGCTGAATTCTAATCCTCAATTCGCAATCCTCAGTCTCCAATGCGTAATGTGAGATGGGCATAAGATAGACTAATAGCAGCGAGCGCTCACGGATCCGTTCCCCAACAGTTGAGTCTGATGAGCGCGACTATTAGTTTCGACTTCAAAAATTATTTAAAATCGAGCTGATTTCGATATAAAAAATTGTTCGAAATCGAACTGATTTCAATATCAAAAATTGTTCGAAATGAAGCTGATTTTGATATCAACATTTTCTCGAAACCGAGCCCGAATCTCTGAATGTCGAAACGATGTTGGATTTCTACTTATTTTAGATGATTATTTTGATATCATTTCGATATCATTTCAATTCGTTATTTCTCATTGGGTAAAGAACTATATAATAGGCCCGATTCTTGACCCGCGCTTTTGATATCGTTCATTAACATCAATGAAACTGTAGAGACTAATTCCGTTTTATTAGTTGCTTTGTGCACACGCATCTTTTCTTTTGAAGTATTTAACAATAATTACCAATATCAACATTACGATGTAAAATACGGTTTGTATTATCGGCACATTTAATTTAAATGTTATGTGCCGATAGCTTTCGTATAATAGTTATTAATCGTAAGACGATAAGAATTTGTGCGGTTTACTATTCCGTTTTTTCTTATTGAGAGTAAGTCAACTTTTTATACACTATAATTAACGATCATATAATTACTGGCTATATTTTCTATAAAATAGGCTATTTAATGTATGCGCATTCTTAATTGTTTGATAATTATTCCATGAACAGGATGTTTTTCCTCTCATTGTAACAAACATTATTGCGTGATTGTGCCAAGCTTTATGTTTGAAATGTTCTTTCATAATAAATCATTTAAAAATTATATCAGCTTTCAAATTTTCTCATATATATTAAGGATCCCGCATGAACCTTATGGAAATTGAATTTTGGTCGAATTGGCTGAAAATTTAATATGTTGTAGATCTCTTATCGTCCTGATAAAAAGTCTCCACAGGCATGACTCCCTATAATGAACGTTTCACTTCTAAGAGGCGTCATTTATCAAAACGCTAATTTATTTCCTTCTGATAAAGTTCTAAGAATTTTTTCAGAATTTTTTGTCAACTTTTTAGTACTGCATTTTCTTATTTGGGCAACTATTTTTACCAACATGAGAAAATGCGGTACTAAAAAATTCTGAAAAAATTGTCAGAATTCTATGAGAATTGAAAATAAACAATTTTTGCTACTTTTACTGTTTTTCTGTAAAGTTGATAGTATAATACTTGAGTAAAAATTATTAAAAAACAATATTCGACGATTTTTAGTAATATCTTATTAATTATTGCGAAAATTGTAAAATGGTATAGGGCTTTTCGATTCATGTCAGTTTAGTTCGCTTTACCCCTATGCGAGAGTTTTATCGTTACTTATCAAACACCCTGTTAAACTCTTATTAATTTACAACAATAACATAAAATCTTATTAATTTATCTTATTATAGTATTGGAGAATTAAAATTACATTTTTATATCTAAATATGGAACGTATATGATTTCTCTATCCAATGACCAAAAAATTTGCGCATTTAAAAAAATTTATTCGAGTGAAGACGCGTTAATGCGTATCTATTATATAAACACGCGCACGCAATTGCATTGACAGCGTGCACAAAACATTATCTTCATTATTGTTATTATAAATAATAATGATAATAATTCGATGGTTTGTGTATAATGATAAAAACTGCAATAAATCGCAATGTACACGGAAAAAAACGACTACAGTTGCACAACTGAAAGTCACTTATAATGTATTTTTCGGTTATAAGAGCTATATATAAAAAGTGATACGAATTCACATTAAAGGAAATGTACTTATTTTTTGGTAAATTTATTGACTTTTTGTAGTTTTTTATCTAAAATTTGTATTATCTCTCATTTTATGGAAAATATTTAAATATTATGAAAAATTAGTTGAATGTGGAATACTTACAGATCATTTGTAAATTTATTTCTAGTATCGTTAAAATTATTCGTAATAATACATACATATATGTATTTAAATTTCACTCCTATACAGTAAATTTACAGCTTGGCGTGGGATTTTACTGTCAGTGACGATATATATTAGATAACGATCTCCATTTGTTTATAACTCAATATTTAACGAAAATAGACTAGATGAAAACGAAATTATACGCCGGTAATTGTTAACCTAGCTAGGAAATGATATCTCTTTTTGTTAATATTAATTATAAACAAATAGAGATAAATCACTTTTTCATTATCCTTTCTTAGCTTAATTAACAATTACCAGCGTGTAATTTCGTTTCCATCCAATCTCCTTTTGTTAAATATTAAGTTATAAACAAATGGAAATCGAGGTCGAATAAATCGCTTTGTCTCATCATCTTCTGGCTTAATTAACAAATATAACGTATAATTTCATTTTTATTCGATCTCCTTTTGTTAAATAATAAGTTATAAATTGTCATTTATCATTTCCTAACTTAATAACAATATGATGGTATTTACTGCGTTGGTGATATCCTTTTACTTATTCCATATTGGTTACTGATACTGTCATTGTTTTTAATTCTTTATTCAATATTTATTTAAGACATAAATTATGAAGGTTAGAAAGAGACACTCATAGCGTTTTCGGCCCGACCGGGTTTGCATCAACTTGGGTTGGAAAATGCTTCGCTATTGGTTGACGTTACACGCTCTACCAATAGGAGAGTACGAAATAGCATTACTTCAACTCAGGTTGGTGCAACTCGATCGATCCGAAAACGCCATAATATGCATTATAAAGTATGTCAGACAAGGAACGATCGAGTATGTCAATTTCTCGACACGAAATATTTCGCGTTTCATGGTTGGCAGCCTTTGTCTCTTATGTGACATTTATAAAAGTGCCTTTTCATACTGACGCTCAACGTTCATTTTCAGCGTCAAAATAAGTCACGTGATCAAATTGACATTTGATATTCGTCAATTTCTATTGCGACTTATTTTGACGCCGAAAATCAGCGTTGAGCGTCGGCATGAAAAGGCACCTGAAGCCCGATGTTTACGATGCTAAGGCCATGGTCCAATTCATGCTGGCAACGCTCATGAGCATCGTTTGTCTTCGTTTAACATTTGACAAACAACAAGGATGAAATGATTTTTAAGCGTTGTGAGCGTGAATCGGACCGCGGCCTAAAAATTGGCCCGAGATCTCGAACAGAGAAAGAATTAACAAGGCTACGTTCCAAAACTTCCTCTCCGAGGAAAATTTTACTCGAAATATATAGTACACGTAATGTATATATATATATACTATAGCATATAGAGTAAAATCTTCCTCGAAGAGGAAGTTTTGGAACGTAGCCCAAATCACATTTGAACAATTTGACCACATGACCATTGTGGTTGGTCAAGTCTTTCTTCATCCGAGGTCTCGGACCAATTTTTAGCATCGTGGACACAAGGCTATAGACAGAGACGGCGGAGATTTAGAGAGAAACACCGTCCAACTGAGCACTCCATGAGAGAATGGCAAATTGCATCACGTGAATGACAGCGTCCAATTAGGACGGGAGTCACCTGATCAGTTTTCTCCAATTTCTTCCACTTCTATGCTTATGGAGTTTTGATGGCCGCGTCCATCAGAGGAAACGGATCACGTGATGTAGTTTGCCACCACTGAAATATAATACCTACTGGAACGCGCGCGGACCCTCGCCGCCTTTAAGTTTGTTAGCAGTGATCCGAGAGAGAGCATTTCAAGTGGTATCTTTGTCCTTTTCGAAGTTATACTGCACATGTGCAGCAGTGGGGCTCGGGGTGATCCCGATTGACTACGGCTCGATTGGACACCACCAATCACAGCGACCGGTGCTTAGGAGCTTTGTAGTCTCAAGCGCTGTGAGTGGCTCGTGTCCAATTGAGCCGTGTCCAACTGGGTGCCACGCGTGGGGCTCATACAGTCTCGGGAAAAGTTAAAATTAATAATATACGTAGCACGCCAAATGTCAAATGTATGTTGAATCTTAATTATTATTGTTTAATATTTAGATATGGTGAAATACTGTTGTATTAAAAATTGCAAGCAAGTTTGAAGACCACACATTGATATTTCATTTTTTAGGTAATTAAACTTGATTAAATTTATGAGAATAACCTTTAATTTCTGAAATATTTTTGAAATTGAAATGCAAATTAATTAAAATTTTAGTTTTCCACTCAAGAATGAAAATGTACTCAGTAAATGGTTACGTGTTGTATCAAATACTCGAGTTAGAAAGTATTTATGGATATGTATAGTAAACATTTTAGAGACTCAGATGTAGAACTAATAAGTAATAAGCGAAGGTTTAAAAAGAATGCAATCCCCAGTCTTTTCCTTGATGATTTGATAGAAACTGTTACACCAAGTTGTAGCAAATGTGGAATTATGAAAGATATTGACAATGTTGTTCCTCATATTGAAAAAGATTTGTTAAGACATAAGACTATGTTATTGTCAATTGAAGAAACTTTTTTACCAAAGACAAGAGATCAAGTAATACACGTATATCCTGAAAATAAGATAAATTGGATAAATAAATAAATAAATTAATAAAATAATAAAAATTTTTTCTTTTATTTTTTAAATTATAATTAGGATAAAGCAACATAAATTTCTCCGTGAAGATTAAAGCCTTCTAATCCTGAACAAGAATAAATGAAAACAAATATTTAAAGAACAAGTTACGTCGTTTAGAACTCAATTTATCGAATATGAAAGACATGGCAAGCCATCTGAAGAAGGAAGGTAAATCATCTGATGAATTAGAGGATATATTGAAACGTTTTTCTGGTTTAAATTTGGAAATTTTAAAAAATGAGCTTGAAAATTCCAACAAAAAATTTAACAAACGTTTATTCTAAGTCTATTAAAGATTTCGTGTCAACATTATATTTTGATTCTCCGAAAGCGTACAATTATTTGCGTTCTTATTTGAATTTGCCTCATGAGGCAACGTTACGAAGATGGGTTGCAGAAATCTTTTGTGAAACAGGATTTCTTGATGTTGTTTTTGAATATTTACAAAATGAAAGTATTAACTGTGCTTATTTAAAAGATGTAGTTTTAATTTTTGATTCCATTAAATGTAATATAGCAAATAATAAAGAAGGCGGCACATTCAAAGGATACATAAATTACGGATCTGATAAAGAAAGATTGAATTTAAAATTTGACAAAACAGATATTAGGTTTGTTCTTCTTAATACACGAGAAGAGAAAAGTGTATGTACACCATACACTTTTACACTCCACTTTTTGGGAGGGGGGGGGATGTCGTGTAAAGTGTAGACTTTTTAAGAAAAACGCCAAAGTGTACATACAACAGCTATAAGGGCTCGGTAAAATAACTGATACGATCTATTTAAAATATAAAATATAAAATAAGTTCCAGAAACTTGTATTAAATATAAAATCGTAGGAGTCGATAAAAGAATGATACGACTTATTCGAAATAATAAACATAGAATATGTTTCAAAAATTTATGTAAAATATTAAATAAGAAATACGTCGCAAAAAATTATAAAAAATATAAAATAAGAAATAGGACTCTGGAATGCATTTTATTTATTTAAAATACCTATATAATAACTTTTATTTAAAATGTCAAAATAGCTTGCTTTTTTATTTTAAATTTTTTTTTGAAGAATATTCTTATTTTAAATAAGAAATTGTTTTCGAAAATTTATTTAAAATATCTTATTTTATATTTAAAAGAAGTTCTTGAAATCTATTTTTTATTTTAAGTAAAAACTACATTTCAAAAGTTAACTCAAAATATAAAATAAAGAATATGTAGGGGAGACCGGGGTTGGTTGTCGTACGGAGTTGATTGTCAAAATGCTTATAA